ATTAGTTCTATTGAGCTCAAACCAGGACATTTATACGTAGTCATCTGTCTCTTGCATAGTGCCTCTCCTTTTAAATTTCAACCTGCGTTTTACTGAAGGCTCACCGCTTGTCACTTGCCCTGCGTGCTCTCAGCCTTTTCGCTTCTATGCACACATCCCCCTCTCCGTTTTTGAATTTTAAAACGGTTGGTTGTTTTTTTTTTAAACTCTTAAAATAACTAGTTGTTTAGAGATTGCCTGGACACCATGCTGGTTTTCAAAATGTGCTTTTCTCAAAACCAGCGGGAATCCGGACCTCAAAAGAATTCAATGTGAGGCTTTGCTTGCTCTCAGAAATAGCATTATCCCTGGATGATACAAGAGCAGGTCAATGTATCAGAAGGTAGAAATTTGAACTAATAGATTGTTTTAGATAAACTTTTCAAGGGCGTTATTTTAAGTAGAAATACATAAATATTATTTTGGTAATAAAATACTGCTTAGGCCAAAGCGAGAAAGGTGCTTGCACTCCAAGACATACTTATAAAAGTCTCAGATTCACGTCCTGGCTCTGGGGAGAGTTTTATTCATGCATTTAAAACAAAATCGAGTCCTTTTTATTATTACAATTCACGAAAATGGGATTTTAAGTTAAATGTCAACTTTTGCATTTAGCGTTGATTTCAAGTGTGATAATTGCATTTCTATGAATTTTCTGGGAAAAATAGTTTTTTTGGAGTTCTTATGCTTTAAATGAAATCCCGCTTGCTGACTGATGCTGAGTGATGCAGAGATAAAGCAAATCTGGTGCCGATTCTTAAAGAATTTGGGTATCTCAGCTCTGACTCTGCAGCCCCTGCGGATCAGTCTGTCCTCAGAGTTGCCCTGCATGAAGCTGCAGGTGCCTGCTTCATCTGTTATATACCTCCAAATACCCATTCTGTACCTAGGGTGCTGTACAGGTAATCACTAAGTAATATGATAGTTTTTTACTGAACTATATCACAGAATCCCAGACCGTTAGGGATTGGAAGGGACCTCCAAAGCTCACCCAGTCCAATCCCCCTGCCGGAGCAGGAACACCCAGATGAGGTTACACAGGAAGGCGTCCAGGCGGGTTTTGAATGTCTGCAGAGAAGGAGACTCCACAACCTCTCTGGGCAGCCTGTTCCAGTGCTCTGTCACCCTCACTGAGAAGAAGTTTCTTCTCCAATTTAAGTGGAACCTCCTGTGTTCCAGCTTGTGCCCATTACCCCTTGTCCTATCATTGTTTGTCACCGAGAAGAGCCTGGCTCCATCCTCGTGACACTCACCCTTTCAATATTTATAACCATGAATGAGGTCTCCCCTCAGTCTCCTCTTCTGCAAACTATATCTCACCAATTGATACCAAGAAAACTCTTCAATAGAAGCTTTTAGTCAAATTATTAAAGCAAGTCAAGTTTGGCTGGATTTTGAAGAGAATGGGCTTAAAGAGTTCAGATATTAATTGATTTTGATACCAGGATATGTTTGTGTGTTTTAATTCCATAGGTGCATTGACATCCAGATAAAGCACTGATGAATGAGAAATTATTCAACTTTTTAATGGAATGTTTTGATGGATGTTTCTTACTCTGGTGTTTTTGTTTGTTTTTGGGTTTTTTTTCATAGCTACTACAGCACCACCACGCAGTTCACGAAATTTCATACATCGCAAAGGATATCACAGACCATCGAGCGTTTGGATATGTGTGTGGAAAGGAGGGAAATCATAGATTTGTGGCAATAAAAACAGCCCAGGCAGTAAGTATCAAATCACTGTCATTTTCTACAGTGTAACTCGATAGAAAAGCTGAGCTCATAAGAAGCTGTTCAAGAGGCCAATCTTGTCTAATGATTGTGCTAGACTTGTCGTGTCTGCTTAGATGTCCTTAAATAGCCCATTAATGAAACCAGCTTGGGAAGAAGAGAATATATTTTACTATTTCAGGTTTTTTTCATGTTGTATTTTTTTAAAATCGGTTATTGTTTTCCTTTCTCACTCAACTAGACTGGATACAGATAAGTTTGGTTATATTCCTATACTCATTTAAACAGAAAGTGATAGATACCATATAGCTACTTTGCATGAAGCCTACCATAATTCCATTGCATGAGAAAACACTGATGAATATGCCTGTATATTCATATATATGCCTTTTATATTCATAATGCCTTTTCTGTTCATAATTACAATTATCATTGGTTGGCAAATATAGTTAGGTCAATAGAAATTAACTTGAACGTGGATGCTAAGATAGAAATTAATTCTGTATGAAGTTCTCTCCCGTTGTGGAGACACTGCAATTGCTCTATCAGCAGGATGGAATAAGAGGAATATATTTCTCTGTATAGAAACCCTCCTTCCTGTTTTTGCTTCCATAGGCTGAACCTGTAATTCTGGACTTGCGAGACCTGTTTCAGCTCATCTATGAACTGAAACAAAGGGAAGAAATGGAAAAAAAGGCACAAAAGGACAAACAGTGTGAACAAGCGGTATACCAGGTACACACATAAGCTTAGACTACTGCCAAGAAAAGTATGGTTTGAAGTATCCCCCCAAAAGTTGCTCCGGAGAGGCACTGAGCATCCTCAGCATTTCTTAACGGCAGTGCATTTGAACGGTGCTAGCTTCAAATGGACAAATATGAACCTAACAGCCATCAGGAGCTCAGAGATAGGATTAAACAGTGATGAAAGCTGTCACTTGGGGTATGAGGAACGTGTCTAGCGACTAGAAATGATCTATATTCATTTCCCATGTAGTGCTCTAATTCAGGAGGAAAACCTTAATGAAGGTCAGTGTGTTGTAAGTCAGGCTTTTAACAGTGTCTAATAGTTTAGGGCTGGTTCGATATACTTCTGAATGTGTGTTTTTGAAGCAAATCAAATAAGGTGCAGATTGTTAAACGCAGACAAAACTTGAATAAAGCTACTTTGAACAATAATGTGGCTTATCTGTATACTAAAGAAAGAATGCTATATACTTACCTGCCCGTTTTGCTTATTTCTTTGCTGTCCTTTAATTTCTGAATGCAGTTCTTTTATCTCTGCTGTTTATGTTCTTTGCTTTTACTGCCTGTCCTCTTACTTTGCTGTAGACAATTTTGGAAGAAGATGTAGAAGATCCTGTATACCAGGTAATTTCTGAAGCATTTCAGAAATGACTAGATATGTGTTATCTACAAACACAGCCAAAACCTCTAACAAGATGTTTTGAAATTTGCTGAGATAGGACTTCGGAGAAACTTGTAAGATTTTTACAGAAAGTAGCATATTTAGAGATTAAGCTCTAAGTATCAGCAAAATATGTCTGTATAGAAATAGTAAATATTTCCTTAAATATTTCCTAAAATGTGGCTTGCGAGTCCAGGTTGTAAATTTCCAAATGAGATTTGTCATCGTTTTTTTTAATACAGACTCAAAAGGGAGTCACTTTGAGAACAGGGAAGGTGACATCTTGTTCTGGTAGTAGTAACTTGACGTTTTGGTTTTGGCTTCTGTGGGGCCCGAATTTAATTCAGAGGGTGGCTATTTGGGGAAAAACAACAGTAGAATAGATGTTAGAACACACTCCCTTCTTGGGGTTTTGCCTATGAATGAATAATAGATCTGAAATTTAAGTCCTGTTTCATCCAAGCAAAATGTCTGGGAGCAAAGATGATTATCAGAAATATGCCAGTGTATTCATGTCCAATACCCTGCTGAGTGTGAAGAAGAAAAAGATGTAATTTCATTCTCATGTTTTTGTGCCGAAACAAAATATGTGATAGTTTACGGGGTTTTTTTTCCTGGAGATTTTGTGTTCTTCCACTTAGACATGTCAGTGGGAGGCACGCTGAAAGAAACCGATTCAACCATTAGTGAATATTGAACAGTGCCTAAGGTGCAGCAAGAAAGATGATAAGAATTAGGATGCCCTAAATTACCGTTCAGCTTTTATAATGTCAGGAGTTTTACTTTGTGCTCTTCACAATAAAGCAAGACCCTGAAAATGATAAGTGTTTTGACAGCCTTTTGCCACGTGGCCCATTCCATGAGCACCAGCCTATTCTCCCAGTTTGGATTTAACTTTTTTTGTCCGTAGATAATAAATATATGTGGAAATAATTGCCATTATGTAAAAGAGGTAAAATTCACGTCGACTTCGGAAAATTAATATTGGGCCACAGGCGGTCTCCCTAGTGAGAAAGAATTAGGAAGTCGCTCTAATGATCAGTAGAGGAGATTTAGGTCTGTTCATTGCCAGTTTATGAAATATGAAACAAGCTTGCTCTGTGCTTTCCAACAAGCCGCTTGTCCTGCTGCCAGCCTGTACTTTGAACTTGTTTCTTTAATGCCTGCCTGTGTTTTTACGTGGAATTCCAAATCGCCTTTTTCCCTTCTGTTTCATCTTTGACTTTTCCTCTCTGGTGACCGGTGTAATAGTACATTGTGTTTGAGGCTGGACACGAGCCAATCCGTGAGCCTGAAACAGAAGAAAACATTTATCAGGTATAAAACCGCTAACTTCGGTGTTTTCATTGCAACGACTGCAAGCATTTAGTGAAGCACATTTCATGTACGGTTCACTTTTCTTAGTTCCCATTCATCACAAAAATGTCTGGCATTTCATTCCGATGACGTGACATGAATAATCTGCCCGCTCTCGGTGTGATTTTCCTGTTGTTTGTCGTTTCAACTCCCGCCGGTTTCATTAATTTTGTTCAACTTATGAAGGGTCTTGAGCTTTTCAGTACATCGTGTAAGGTGATGGTGGATTGTCTTTTTCTGTTAATTTTTTTGGAACTTTTTACGCTTATTCTAAGAAACAGATACCGAAATCTCATGGAGGGCAGACTATCCAAGCAATTCTTAGAAATGCATTTTGACGGTACTGCTCTTCTTTCTGACTAACCAAGGAAATAACTGAGCAAAATCAAAGGGCTCTCAGTGGATATCCCCCAGACTGGGGAAAACATTTTGAGTGTGTGTTAGAGCCAAAGCTCGCATTCTTCACAAAAAAATTGCACTGAAAGCAATATAAAGTAATCTTTTGTTGTTCAATGTATCCTTAAGGGATCAGTACAGGGCTTATTAAAATATAATGTAATGCATTTTGTGCCACATACTAGAGGCAAATCTGGAGACAGGCAGAAATCTCTGTATGCTGCAAGAAAATTGTGATTTGAGGAAATCATTTAGCATGGAGGGGAAGGAGATTCAAGCAGTGATTAAGCATTTCATCTCGCTGTCCTAGAGGTTGATCTGCTAGTAGGACAAGCTTTTTAAGGTAGACAGGAGCAGGGATAGAACAACCAAAAAAAAGGAAAGGTATTTTTTTAAGTAATGAGAAAAGGTAGGAAGGTGATAGAAAAAAATGGAAGAGTAGAGTAGCTGTAAGGCAAAATAGAAAGAAGCTAAAGGGAAAGGGAAACACAAGTTAAACATTAGAAAATAACCATCTTATAGACCCCATCCCAGAGTCGTCAAGATGAGATTCATTGAATTGTCGGTTTCCTGACAGCCTGCCACACAGACTAGAATGTGCATCTGTGTGCATCTTTAGACCAGGACATGCAAAGCTCTCAAGGTGAGACTGTGCCCAGAGTGGAAGATTTTCTACTGCACAGTGTTGAAAGTTTGACTATTTTCAGGAAAGCAGTCCGTTAAAAATTTACTGCTCCAGTTGTCAGTTTTATGCTAGAAACAAAAAAATAATCTCATTATTCCTTGAAGTGCAGAGCTTTTAGTGACATTGTAGGGAAGTACCCGTGGAAGCAAGCGAAGTGGGGTTGTCACTCCCAGTGTTGGGAGATCTTAGAGCATTGTCCTTCTCTATATTTACTACAGCTAATACCTTGAGTAAAGCAAATGCTGAGATGAGGAAGCTATGAGTCTTTTTCTGTTAGCTATGGCAGTTGACAGATGCTGAAGTGTTACTGCCATAGATTTGCCCCGAGCCGTGAGCTTCCTAATTCTCAGGGACATTGTGAGCTCTTGGCTTGCTATAAATCTGGGTTCCCACAGCTCACATCTAACACTCAGATCAGTGGTAGAATTGCTTCTCTTACAAGATCTTGATGATCTCAGAACCAGCCAGGCTACAATTAAAAATGCAATTAGAAAAGGTCTACTTTTCTTTTTTTGAGTTTGTTTGGTGGGCTTTTTTAGTTTGGTGCAGATTGGTGCCAGCTTCAAGTAGCCTTCCCCATACTACGTTTTGGTAACTGTGTCTGTTCAGTAACCTCATACATCCTCGCTTCAGCCTCACCAAGTCTTTCGTTTGGTGCTGCTCTGATTTTCCAGCCTGGTAGGCACAGAATTCACTTCTCCCCTGCTGGAAAAGATTCCTACCCAATGGGTAGCTGGAGATGGGAGATATGTGCCAAAAGTGACAACTTCTATTTCTTTTTAACATAGCAGAGGTCACAATTTTCTTGTTAAGCATCCTTTCTCTGTCTGTCACCTTTCTTTGATACATTACCCCAAAGACTCTCTGTGTCTGTCTGCCCTTTTAATATTGTCTGTCTATAGAAGTTGCTCCAATGTGTTAGTTACGCAAGGATTTGATCACTGAGCTTGTACCAATCTTCTCATCTAGTGTCAGATTTCTTAATAGCATCTCTTTCCCGGTCTTGTTTCATGGTACTGAGGTGGGGATGGGATTTTTTAGGTGGTTTTGTATTGTGGATGTAGCCGCACTGGTCTCTATGGAGAGGCAAGTTCTGCTCCGTCAGGAGTTGACAACCTGAGATGGGGGTTTCAGAGCTGCGGTGCTTGTGCTGCTGCTGAGATGCAAGTATGTCAAAATGCTTCACAGCCTGTCACAGAGCCAGGGCTGTCAGCAGCAATCGTGCTGCTACCTCTTTGCTGATATTGCTAATCAAAGGAAAAAAACGGAGAAACCCCTTGGAGACCCGCAGGCTACGTAGCAATGCAAAAAAGCGTGGTAATACATGGCAAGTAAAGACAACAGAAAGACAGGCAGTATCGAGCTGGGAGAGAAAAATGTTTTTCAGAAAAGTTTCTCTGCCTTGATAATAGAAGACAGAAGCTTTTTTCTAATGTGATTATGAGCTGGAGTGAAAAAGGGGTGATGAATAGTGCAGGAAAATGCTTATTCCACAATAAGCTGTGGATAGGAGTGTGCAAACTGGGATTACTTCATGGAAAAGTTGGAAGGAGAAAGAGGAAAGTGACTGAAGGGAAAACTTTCCAGAAAGAAGAGAAAAATGCACCCTCATGCTAGTTTCTAAATAGTTTGTCTTACCACATTTGTCCTCTCTTTATGAAGAATAAACTTCTCAGTGACTTCATAAAGAGGCCATTCTTGGTTTCTGCTTTTAAACTGTCATTTAAAGCTCTCGCTCTTTACAGACTGTTATTTCCATGAAATTGAATTGTTCCAGTCATACCAATTTCACGTATCTAATGTGATAGGTCATTTTAGTGGAAGTGGCCAGTACTTTGAGAAAACCAAGGCAAGCAAGTCATTCCCAGGATAGGAATAGAAGAGATCTTTTAAAAATCTCTTTCAGTTTCCATGAGACTTCTGCACTCATTCTCTTGAAAAACTGCTGTGATGCGCACCAAGTTAAAGATGCATGGTTTCCCATGAAGACTTTGACATTAACACGTGGGCAGGAGAATGTTTGAACAGTATATATTCTACAGAATGAGAAATGATAGCACATCTGAGTGAATAAGTAACATTAAGTTCCCCTAAACCAGTCCTACTCTAATAGCAGAAGTCTAAGATATTTATTGTCTTAGCAGACAAGAAGTAATATTTTTTTCCTTATCTGCAATGTTATTTCTTCTATTGACCAGTGAGGTTTCATTGATGTCTGAAATGTAACCTTCTTATGCTGAATGCCCTTCTTCAGTGGAAAAGTAGCACTGATTTACTTAGAGCGTTCATGTCTGTTTAGAGCATGTTTTTACTGTTGTTTTTGTTTGTGCTATTTACAGTAGACATTCAGTGCTTCTAGGAAGAAATAGAAAGTCTAAAGATGTAAACGAACAGTCCTTAGGCAAGCAAAGCCCAGTATTACAAAGCAACTGAATTTACGTCCGTAGGCTATAAATGCCCAGTGTGTAAATCATGACTATTGACTCAACTAAAGACTCACTCAGATTTTTAAGTGCTTCATCCCCTGTCCATGTGAGGCTGTTGAATTCAGCTCCTGGGCTGTGTAAGTGTCGTGCACCTTTAGACCCTGACAGGCCAGCGATTCCTTAGTAAAATTGCAAAATTCTAGCCAAACATCACTTGGAGCAGCCACAGGGCCCCGCCACTGCAGGGGTGCATGTTATGACATTACTTGACTTAAATTAGTAAATGAATGGGAAGGAAGAAATCTAACACCTTTTTTTTTCTTTCCCTCAGCTTGGCAGCTCTACTCTGGATCTCTGCCATGGAGTAAGATGAGGTGCTGAGCTGATCATGTCTTCCATGTGCATCTTCTAACCCTCAAGTAAAATGAGAGAACAACCAGTTAAGTGGGAAGGAGAACCAAATGCACCTGAACTGGATGCAACCGAACCTAACTGAGAATGAAAATCTCATTTCTGACCATTACTGGGCTTTAGTTGTTTTATTTCTTCAGTATTGTCTCCATTAATGTTATTGCTTGAATGAAAAGGGAGTCACCCTCACTTTCATTAGTACTAAATGACTACCCTGTAGTTAAATATCAGCTGCAGATTCCAGTTTTTCATCAAACTTACTTGGGTAGTGACCTTAGTTTTCACTTGCTATTGCAGGTTCCTACCAGCCAAAAGAAGGAAGGTGTTTATGATGTGCCAAAAAGTCAACCTGTAAGTGTAAGTACCTTCCCTATTTATATGCACTGACTTTCATTATTGTATGTAACATTTGGTACACTTCTCGTGATGGGAATTGTGTCAGTGATCTGTTGTGGGTTGCTTGGGTTGGTTCAGAGTAACCAGGATTGTAATGTCACTTCTATCCATCTCATTCGTTACTTAAATCTCCTTTCTGTCTTTTCCAACTAGTTCTTATGAAAGTCACGATTTATAAACGTGTTACCTGTGGTTAAGAGTTGACAATGAGCCTTCTTCATGTTAACGCATGAATCATTGGTGCCTGGATTAGAGAAGTTCCTCTATTACCCAATTCCATACAGGATTTATCACTTGGAGTGAGCATGGACTGCCATTTCTCCCGTGTGCTCTATCAGGGCTGTACTTTATATATTGTGCTCCTCACAGCTTGGTTTAGTAGGACAGCAGGGGAGGCAAAATCTGAATAGAGTGGAGGTTCGAGAGGAGTAGTGTTAAGAAAAGATATGATAGAGCATTGTCTGTGACCCCTGTGGTGATTTTCTGTGGCTATAACATCTGCACCTCTCAGAAGAGTTTCTGGTGAACTCCTGGTGGCCCCTCACTATAAGAAGGATGTTGAGATTCTGGAGCATGTTCAGAGAAGAGCCACAAGGATGGGGAGGGCTCTGGAGAACAAGCCTGATGAGGAGCGGCTGAGGGAACTGGGCTTGTTTAGCCTGGAGAAGAGAAGGCTGAGGGGAGACCTCATCACCACCTACAACTGCCTCAAGGGAGCTTGTAGAGAGGTGGGTGCTGGTCTCTTCTCCCAGGTGATGGGGGATAGAACAAGGGGAAACGGCACCAAGCTGTGCCAAGGGAGGTTCAGGTTAGAGATGAGGAGGAAGTTCTTTACTGAGAGGGTCGTCAGAAGCTGGCACAGGCTGCCCAGGGAGGTGGTGGAGTCACCATCCCTGGATGTGTTTAAAGAGCGGGTAGACGAGGTACTTAGGGATATGGTTTAGGGGGTAGACAGGAGCGGTTGGACGTGATGATCTCAGAGGGCTTTTCCAACCGAGCGATTCTGTGTGATTCTGTGAATACAGTGTGTGCTGATAGGTAAAGATTTCATAAGGACCTTCAAGTCAAATAGTACCAAAAAACCTGAGAATTTGCATCAGAATTACTTTTCTGTCGTTTGGGAAAAAAAAACAGAAAAACAAGCAAAAAAACCCCAACAAATGAATTACATCAAAATCCAACCTAACATACGCCATAGAAACCTAACTATTTTTCCAATAAAACCAACTTCTGTGGTAGCTTAGTGAGGGCTGTGGAGTCGTAGGGCAGAGATACGTGCAGTTGCCATTAGTTTAAACAGCTGTGGGGAACACTTGAAAGGAGCTACGCCAAGATCAAGTGTGCAAAAAGACCTCACTCAACAAATTCCTCAGTGGCAGAATTTTTCTCTATGTATTGCATTTTTTTCCTGGTTATTGTGGGCTGTAATCAGCACAAGGGGCTTTCCTCCCAGTACTACTACACATTATTTCTGTGGTGCTCCAACAGGCTGAGGGACAGCTTAATTCGTTCTGTCCCGTGCCTTGCATGGACAGCAGAGTATTTTAAAATAGGGGTAATATGCTGTTGTATCCAAATGGCCCTGCTCTCGTCCTGTGTATTGGTATTTTGAAGACTTGAGGCATTTGTCCTCAGAATATATAAGGAATGGTAAGGAGTGGTTGAGAGAAGAAGTGGAATGGCAGGTGCCTTAGCAGGAAGGCATGCATTTGCTGAAGGGCGGGTTATACTGTGTATAAATACATTTATAAATACATTTATATTGTGCTATAAATACCTTGAGAAATCATTCGGTTGCGTTGGTTACACCGAAAATTAGTATTTCGGAGGATTTGTATGTGAATGGAGAAAAACAAAGGAAAAGGTCAGGAATTTTAGTCTGCTGTAAGCGTGAGGGAACTGCCTGTATTCAGGAGAGAGACTCCTTTCACGTAAGGACGTTCTGAATTGCGCAGCTTGGGCTGAGCGTGGAGACCGAGGTGCCGAATAAAAAAGATGAATTCTGGGGAGGGGCTGGCTGGGGGCCTGAATTGTGACACTTCTGCGCTTTGCACAAACAAACAAAACTTGCCATAAATATTTCATGATAAGCCGCTGGGAGGAGGGAGGCATCATCACGTTGCCGGGGAAAAGCTAGTTAAATAACTCACGTCGCATAACTAATGAAGATATTTGTGGCACGGAGTCGCCGCAGATTTTTTGCTCGTTTCTCAGCGTTAGAATTCTTTCCTCTGTACACTTGCTGCAACTTTTTTATTATCCCTTCAGCATTGCTTCGAATTTACTCTGGATGCAGTCTGTAATTTAGGTCGCTGTGGTGTGGCTGGGTGTACAATGCACTTGCAATCACGTCTGCAGACACTTTGGTATTAGACTGTCCTGGGAAAGAGCCTGCCTCTGAGGTACAGGGCATGTGGAACCTGCTCTGTAATCATCAAATATATTTACACTGTCATCTCCATGAGGCTGGTTGCAGACTTGTTGGGGTTGGTTTTTTTCCATTGCTATTTCATGTTTAAATTTAAAGCAATTAGAGCTTTTTCTCCAAACAAGTAATGTACTTTAATTTATGAAGAAAAAGAGAAGAAAGAGAAGAGGAAGAAATATATAGCTGAGATTTTTTGTTCCACCTTTTTATTAGTATGTATTAAAAAAAAAAAAGAACAGCAGCAATAGCTCTTAAAATTAGCAATTTAATATTCCACTGCCCATCTGATTTATTGCTCACCCTTCCGTATCTGAGACTCTCTGTCATTGAGATACTTGCCATAATTTTTGTTTCAATTTATAGCTGTCATTATTATATAAACCTCTAAAATTCGATCTGAGGGCAAATAATCTAGCTCATCTACCTGGTTGAAACATATAAGGACACTTTCTTTATTAGGAGATCTTGCTTTCATTAATTTTATTATGGATGAATAAAGCAAGAAACTTTTTGTAGCTCCTAATAGGTTTCAGGCATCATGAATTCTCTCTCCTGACAATAAATACAGCACTTCATAAAAATGCAGCAAGTTTTGCTCAAGTTCAAGTGAAATTGCTCACATTCCCTGGACTGAGATTGATTTCGCGTCTTGGGATTGTTTTCCTCTGGTGTGTTCTCAGGCAAGGTATCTCTGTATGTAAAAGTGAGGGATACTGCAGTGGTCATCCTGGTGCCCTCCACCTTTGGCTTTCTGTAGGTGGTTGAGGGAAATAGCTGCTTCACGGGGAAATTCCTCCTGTCGGCATGAGGTGAGGTGTCCCTCTCAGGTGGAAATAAGTGGACGTCTGGACATGGTTCTTTCATGGCTGCAGAGGATCCTTAAATGGGGCTGCTCAGCCTGGAGAAGAGGAGGCTCTGGGGGGACCTTATTGCAGCCTTCCAGTTCCTGAAGGGCTCCGACAGGAAAGCTGGGGAGGAACTTTTTACAGGGGCAGGTAGAGATAGAACTAGGGGAATGGTTTTAAAGGGAAGGTGGAGATTTAGACTGGATATTAGGAAGAAATTCTTTACTGCGAGGGCGGTGAGACACTGGCACAGGTTGCCCAGGGAAGCTGTGGGTGTCCCCTCCCTGGCAGTGCCCAAGGCCAGGTTGGATGGGGCTTGGAGCAGCCTGGGCTGGTGGAGGTGTCCCTGCCCATGGCAGGGGGTGGACTGGGAAACTTTAAGGTCCCTTTCAACCCAAACTATGCTGTGATTCTTTGAACCTGTGATTCTAGGACGTGCAGGTATGATAACTTCTAAATAGTTAGGCATAGGTAGGGTGAGATCTACCACAGCATGAAATCTAAAAGCCAGAAGCCCTTTTCCAAAGGTTACTTTGAAACTGGGAAGGGTAATTCATACTGGTTTTCAAATGGATACAGCTTCTTAAGAAACCAGGACCACCTGGACAAATACTGCTTTCTCTGTGCATATGAGATCCCACAGGGGCTGAAGGTCTGAGATCTCTTTTTAGCGGTGCCATGAAGCAGAAGCGTTCGATGTTGTGTATGCATTGAGATAGCCGAGGAAGTTGCAGGACTCTGAGCCATTGTGTGAGGCTATTTGTCAGAAAGTATCAAAGTACTTTATAGTGTGGCTCCTCATGATCTCTGATATCAAGTAATGTAAATATGGTGCAAATGAGGTGGAAAGGAATGAGCCTTGGATCTCAGGATCTGAACGTACCTGCTGAAGTCAATTAAGAGTGGTGGCTGGTTGCCAAGTCACTGCCCTGACATTGGGATTAAAAGATTGCTTTATTCAGTATGATTCTTGTATTTCTCCATCTCTTTGCTGCATCCCTTCCCAGCAAATCCTACTCTTCTGCAGATTTCTTCTGCAGAGCGTGCTGCAGCTTTCCAAGTAGACACTTCTCATGTAACCAGTTTCTTCCCAGTATCTCTCCCTTCCTCTGTATCAACTCACACTTCTTGTATTCATTCCTATTTTCTCTCTGCTCCTTCCTTACACCAATTCTCCTGTTCTCCATTCACTGAGAATAGAAATCAAGCCAGCCAATGAAAGCGAGCTTACCCCAAAGAGCTTGTGTTAAGTGGTACACGCTCCGCCTAGAAATTGTGGTTCCCTATGTGAAATTAACTGTTCTAAAAAAGTGAAATGTTTAATGAGCTCCTTTTGTCGTAATTTCCCATCGTCTCTACATTATACATCCACATCAAGTTCTACCTGTCACGGTGTTTTTAGTAATAAGAGTCAGACTGTAAATACCCTTCATGGAGACTGTCAGTCACATCACAATAAAACCATCTCTTCTCATCAAAATGTCTAAAGTACCTGCTTGCAATTTTATGAAGGCTTTGAAACATCTCATCTTACTGCTGTATAAAGATTCAAGGCATCATAGCTGATGCCATGCAATGCAGGCAGTCACCTGGCTGGTACCAATGGCATGAAAAATGTTTAAAAAACCAGGGTGGAATGGACAGGGGGTAATTTGGCTCCCCTAGGGGAGGAGCAGGTGAGACTGGGC